TATACATTCCGGTAATTCTTACAGTCACATTAAAACGACTGCGGAAGATATTCTAAATAATGCTCTTTCGCGCCTCAAGCTAAAATTCAATTACGTCAGAAGATATCTTACGAATTCGTAATATCGCCCTTCGGAATCGATTTATAAATCCTGTACGTATATCTGCTTTAAAATATAAATTTTTTCCACGTCTTCCATCTCTTCATTTAATACAAAATACACAGAGCGTTTACTTTGCCGTTATAAAAATATTATGATTGAAGAATTTTTCTTTCTTCAAAATTTAGAATCATGTCATCTTAAGCGTTTAGCGTTTCTTGACTATGTGAATTAAGCACGTGTCTATCTGATGTGGAGAAACAATTTAGTTTATAAACAGAAAAACATTTTCATATATAAAAAATATATCGTACAGAATAATTCTGTTAATCGAAGATACTTGCAGATTCATAAATTTTGTAATTTGATATCGCGCCGATAGAGTAATACTCAAAAGTGACAGAAATTCCCGTTCCCCAGTTAATCCCTATTCGCTGATTGTACGTAAAAAAAAAAAAAAAAAAAAAAGATTTAACAGTTATTTATTTCTATAGTTATTTCTAAGCCTCAGAATCGCAATTCGAACGTCGCTGTTCATTCCAGCGTGAAAGCCAACATATAAAGTCGGCATGACAGATATAACACTTACCTGCCAGGCATTGGAGTCCAGAGCGAGGTAAGACATGTTGTTGTTAGTGTCCTCCGTGATTGAAAAATTTGTGGGGTACCCGGGAACTCCTCGCCGATCGGCACGCTACCAATATCCAGCTTGTCACTCACGTTCCGAGATGATCGGCAGGCGGCATCTTCCGTCGGCAGCTCCGTAAAGAGGCAAGCTGTACTGAAAAAAAAAAAAAAAAATACGTTGAAGCGTTTAGATAACTCTAATAAAATATTAAATAGAATAAAAAATATCTCAAATATGACGGAGACGAGTTTATTCAAAGATAAAACCGAAAGTAAGAAAAAAAAATCATCATAATCCACCGATCGAAATAATCGTTTATCTATGCTCGAAAGTAACTTTAAAACAAATGCAGTAATTCATTTCCTTTTTATATTAAAATTTCGTTCACTTACTGCCAGTTATGTTTTAATTACAAGAGATCATCGCAGGTTTGAGAACTAAATGACTGATTTTAGCTCTCTCTCTTTAGCTTTAATAAATCTATGCGCATCAAAATTATGTTTCTCACAGAAAACTTTCGTACGACTCGTTTTTTTCCATGCAAACCATGCGTCGAGGAGGCGGGAATATCAAGTAAGATTTGGCGAAAATTTACTGCGGTGAGTAACAAAAATGCGAATTACTTTCGTCGGCCGGAATCCCTGGGGCGTCGCGTCAACGGATCGGGAACTTAGTTAAGCAAAGTTAAATACGGCTCCCCAAGATGGCACGACCGCTTTTTAATTGCAAACACTTTCACAAAACGAGTGGATACCATAAGATACTCGACAAGCGAAGATTACACCCCTAACTTCTTTCTTGATCGCTACAAAATATCTACGTGTATATAAATATCAAGAGTTCCCAAGATATTTAAAAGTACAATCAGACACTTCGGAAATGCTCAACATCAACTTACAGTGAATCTTGAAAAGCTTACTACAACAATATTTTCAAGATTTATTTTACTGTGTGTGTAAATTTAAGTGAATAACAACGCTTGCCTAACGCAAGGATAAAGTATTACATAAAATTTGGCAATTAATAAATAAAATAACAATAATCTGCGAACAGTCTCGATTTTAAATGCAATAAAAACCGTATCGCTTCAATTCGAATGTAGAAATAAATAAAAAATATGTAAGCTAATAAAAAAACACAACTATATTCAATTATATATTCAATTATATAAAAGGATTTATATTGGACGGAAAAATTTGTGTATTTGAATGAACGATGTTTCAATCGCTTGATAAATCCTTGTCAATAATGATAGCGAAATTTCAGAAAATAACTTATTACTGAAACCTCTCTCTATCTTTCTCTCTCTCTCTCTCTCTTCTCTCTCTCTCTCTCTCTCTCTCTCTCTCTCTCTCCCTCTCTCATCGACATTATATTCATGAAGAGCTATTGAACGCTATTACATCTGGTTTTCGCTTAAAACATAATATAATAACGTTGCACATCCTTCAATTTATCCGTGATTTATGCAAATTTGTACGAATCAAAGAATATCATTATTATATTTAAACGTAGAAAATATAACGTATTTTTAACTTCACGATGCGATGCTGAGTATTACCCTTCCCCCTCCTTCTCTCTACATTCGCCTTTAAATCAAACGATGATCAAATATCGGTGACACCATTGACTTTATCATTTACCGTTACAAAGTTCTGAAACGAATGAGCCAATTTAACCAACAAATTGCCGCCCTCTGTGTTGTTTATTATTATATCCGTCTTTCGTTCCATTCTCTTGTAGAGGCAAATTCAAATTAAATCAGACGTTTACAATCAAAACTATTAACTTTACATTACGCCATACACCTCTCATGAATATCATTTGTCCTTCCTATGCACAATCGAACACGAATATTTGCGACATTTTGAACTAAATAAATTGTTTGTTTTGTTTTTTTCGAAAATCACGAGTTACATAAGATACCCTTCAAATCTTAAAGAAAATTTCTTTTCCATTTCCGCTTCTATTTATTTTTGTTAATGAAGAAAGCATACACATACATACATACATACATACATACATACATACATATATACATACATACATTCTTTCTTGTAATAATAAACGCGGAACATATACAAAAAGTTATTAAAAACTTTATTATTAAACTGAGAAATCTATCGTAATCAGACACTACTTTATCACATCGTAGTAAAAATAATATTTCTAATATCTCTTTTCATTCTTCCCATTTTTGAACGGTTTATTGAACGGTTACAATTTTTGTATTTTTAAAGATTCACACACGTACACACATTTAAATTTACGGCAGAAATGTTCAAAAACAAAGCGTAATGTTTGTAACGCTGTATGCGCCACATTTTTAAACAAAAGAAATTTTATTAATCGTTTTCAAAAATCGAAATCGCTTTTTTATGTAATTCCAAATACGTGACACTTCGCATGTATACACAGAAAAAAATTCTTTTTCCTCTTTAACGTTATTTCGATTCGACAATTCCGACGCTTATTGTGATACGTATTTCCTAAAATGCCTAAATCTTGATAAATCGTTTGATATACAAACAATTGATCACAGAATGCATTCATTTAGGTGACTTTATTACCACACGACAACTATTGTCAAAACCTTCCGGCAATTGTTTCACGGCTTCACGATCGCTCCGACAATTTCACGCGTTTAAAAGAATCAGTCCAAGGTCACCGCGTCGCATTTCGCACAACGTTCACTCGCGCAAGAGACACGAGATTTCTACGTGCGTTTTTCGTCATTACTTTCCGAAGCGCACTCGAGCCCACACTCGCTGAGACGAAAGTTAAAGTCGAACCGCGACACGACTCTCGGAGACACAACGCAAACTCACCTCCTCGTCTCGATCTCGCGGCGAATCACCGACGGACGGACAGCGGCGACGACATCGGCGATGGCCACCGGGCAAAACTCGCGTTTTCGCGTCAGACTTGGACAAAAACATGAAAAATACATTCCCGTGATATATCCGCCGTGAGCCCCGCGAAGACGGATCCGTGCGCGCACGTACGCATACGTGTGCCTCGTAACTTAATCCGCAAGCGGATTATCGGAGGCTAATTCGAAATGCGGTCGGACCAT